TCCTAGTGCCAGTGTATTGACCAAGTGTTTGTATATTATGCAGGGTGACCGTGGCTTTCCTGGATCCGTTGGACTCATGGTGAGGCTTTGTAACCCCATCGGCTGACTTTTGTGCAATTTCCTTGATGCTGATTCCTTGACAGCCTTTCCTCTTCCTCTATTTGTTGCATCTCCAGGAAATATTCTCTGTTTATGCTAATGGGTGAATTTCCAGTGATTCAGCGTGTGTTCCCTCTGTAGTAATCTCCTCTTGTTTGCCTCACTGGGCTTGCTGTTGTTCAAAGTGTTCGTAACATTGTTTCAGGCAAAATATGCTAAAACGCGTTTGCTTTCACGTCAACAAGAAGTGTATCTACATTCTCAGTTTCTTTAAATCTGGGACTTATTTTTGATCACTCACACACCTGCCATTTGACACAAATGGAGATACAGTAAGGATTCTGTTAAAAAATATATTCACTTTTTTGCAGGGTCCCATTGGCCCACAGGGACCAAAAGGAGAATATGGCTTCCCTGGGCGGCCAGTAAGTACAGTCTCCCCTCCCTGTCTGATGTGAGGTTTGCTAAAATATGGATTCCTGTCATTCCCTCACAGATCTGAAGGCTTAAGTAAAATATAGTATGGACTCATGTGCCCCCTGTCACAGCATGGAAAGACCAGTCAGACTTACACATGCAGCAATGTCTTGAGCTGTGTTAGCTTTATGAATGGTTACCTTCATGATCATCTCTGTGCTGCTGATTATTCAGCATTTTTGATTGGCTGTGTCATTTTTTTTTCCCCTTCCACTCTAGGGTCGTCCGGGAATGCCAGGGAGAAAAGGAGACAAGGGAGATTCTGTTGGTCCTCCGGTGAGTCAGGCCTGTTCCTCTAACCTCGCTGTAAGGGCGTTGTGACCAAACAGGAAGTACCTTCCGCAGTGGTGACTGGCAAACTCCAGCAGGTTTTATCACCGCAGCTGGCACAACCACACAAGCCCGAAACGCACCAGCGCTCTGATGTGAGACTCCTGTGGTGCTGTGTGCGTGAGTCTGCCCTTACAGCTGCCCTTAAATACCCTTTCTCCCCTTTTAAAGACATAATCACACAAGTACCTACGGCCAAAGAGGCAAAGTAAGGTACCTTTTTAAAATATCTGGAGACCGGACACGAAAGCCAGCAAAACTCACTTTGAGAATTAGTGGAACAAACCACTGCTTTGTGTCAGCGTGGCCCTGTAAATCAGTGCATAAAATCATATAAACACAGAGTGCCGTAACAGGCAGCACAGTAAATAAATAAACTTCTCTCAACACTGGCTCTCGTCTCTTGCTCTGAAACAGCACACATTTATGACGGTTTGCTGCGAACCAGAGCCGTGTTGAAATACGCCAACTTTTTACATCTGTGTTTACTGTGTTGCACTTTATCACCCAGACCCGGCAAGAGTCGATTGTATTTACTAGCTCTCTCTCCAGGTCTTGCTTGGCTGACCTATGGCTTTCATCTTAAACTGCGTAGATCTGTAAGGTACTTTGTGAGTAGAAGTAGATTAAAAAGTAGATTTTAGCTGTTTGCAGAGGTGTAAGAGCAAGTGGATACAGGTTAAACAGAGTAAGGTGAAGATGGCAGCTGACCAGATCTCTTGCCCAGAACAAGTATATATATTTATGTCATTAGTTTTCGGAGATATATGAATACTACCAACCTGGGGGCAGTTGTTTCCTTATAGCAGTGATAACTGGTGATTTCATCATGGCGGAAAAATGTGTTTGTTTTTATGGATCTTGACCACTTTATCAAAAAAAAACCCTTTTTTGACTATCATGCAAATTTGCAGGAAACCAGACAAAAAGGCTAATTTAAAAGGAAAACTCAAACCTATTTAGTAAATATTTTCAACAAAGTGAGTGCAGTGTTTGCATTATACTTGTATATCTCCAATAATGAACTTTTAGAGATGAATCTGTTTTTACTACATATTGCCATCAATTTGCATGGATAAAGCTGTTTCAAACCCAAAGCTTACATGCATGTGTATTTTACTTGTGTCAGAATTTAACATCAAACATATGAGACTACCTGAGTGCTTTTTGTCAGCTTGTACGTCAGGAGCCATGGAATTCATGATGGCATTCTCCAAACAGTAGCTGTAGGGAAATAACCACCATCAATAGTAATAGTTCTTACTGCACAGATGTGATGTGTAAAGAACCTGTCTGTGCTTTCACAGGGTCTTCCTGGCCCCCCTGGACCCCCAGGTCGCCCAGGGCCACTCAACTGCCCCAAAGGAGTAAGTCACTTCTCTGTACCGACTCTTATTCACCTTTTAGCCACCACTGTTTTAATAGATGACTTTTCTCTGTTTCACTGAACTGCTCTCCTCTAAATTTCAAAGACAGTTTTTCCGGTCCCTCCCAGACCACACTGCAAAATGCCAGTAAGTGAAAGAGAGCCCTTGATTGGCTGAGTGGGTTTTCGGGGCCTGGTCTGTCCGAGTCCGCCCGCGCTCTCAGCCCCGGTGGCCGCCCCTTCCTCTGCCGCTGCGCCGTTCCCTCCGTCCTCTGTGCTCTGCCCCCCCTCTCTCAGGTCCACAGCACAAAGCATAAAGCTGGCATGTCTCTGTACACGGCTCCACTGATATTTACAGTGGCGCTTGACGCAATTTCAGCCAAGGTGCAAGCCATACAAAGTATGTGGAGCTGGAGATGCCACGTTTAGAACCACTTCCTGTGCCCACGTTCCTGAAGTGACAATGCTCGCTTTTCTGGGGCATCAGTGTCAGCTCCCAACGACTCTCATTCCCAATCCGGAACTGGCCGATGAGTCCTTAAGAACAATTAACTAATCTGCCGGCGGACCAAAGTAGACGCAGGTTAAGATTCCAAGGAATTGAAGGAAGCAGAAAGAATAAGCCCAGCCCTCCCTTATGTGGTGATCGGCCCAGTGACAGAAGGGAGACAAAGGCAGGAGCTGCATGATACCTGCGACAGATGGCCTGACAGTACAGCCTGCTTTATGCTGGTGTGTGAAACATAAAGGGAAGATGTGCTTGCTGCATCTGTGGTTGTTAACCTGACCCAGGCATGGTGGAAGCTCCCCTCTTAGCATGCTGCATGGTGTTTGCCTCCCGGGGGGTGTGGTCCTCTATTGGTTTTGTATCATTGGGTGGACACTAACAACGAAAATGCAAGGTGACCCCCAAAAATCAAAGCACTAAAGGAAATGTTTTTATAGTCTTGTTCTGCATGCAGACAAAGGCTTCTCTCAGCCCCCTGACAAACTCCTGCTGTGGATATATTTGAGAATAAACAAAGAGAATGCTGCAGCAGTCAGTCATTATTGACTATTAGATTTATCTCTGTTATCTGAATTTCTTGATTTTTCTGAGGGTCATCTTGAAGCAACATTATTTGCATACAAATCCTGTGCATTTGATTTTAACATTGTGTTATTTTTATGTGCAGTTTATTTCTCCTCGTGGGTTGTCATGGGAAACAATCAGGTTCAGACTAACAAAGGCACCCTATTGTATGACAAGCAGATGGAAGCCAAGGGAAACGGGGAGGCTGAGAGCAGAATAGTCTACAGTGATTGAATGACAGCATTGATGGAACTTTTATGACTACACTGATATGAACAGGCTACTCTTGCTTTTCTCTGGAAACTATAAGAGGATCACTCAGAACTTTTTTTCAGCGGTTTGTAGTGGGCTGCTGTAATACCACTTTATTCCAGTAAATTAGTTAAGAGCCATTCAGTTTGAGTCTGGATATCCTTTAGTGTTACATTTACATGCACACACAAACACTGACGCACACAAACACACACACACAGTAACAGGAGCAAAGGCTTCACTCCAGCACTGTGGCCAAATTGCATATGTATGACTGCCATTATTCCGATTCTTCAAAAGCTTTAAGGGCATGTCTTGTAATTCTAACACAAAATGCCGCCATGTGTTCCCAGCAATGCACTTCTTTTTCAGACAGCATTTATATCATTGCAACATTTGAATGCATCGTGTGTTATGATGCAGCAATTTGCCTGTAAAATTTTGAAATATCTACTAATATATTTATGTGATCTTGACCAGGTTAATGGGAACAGGGAATCAACACAAGGTGAGTACTGCTGTGTGTGATTTAATACTTAGTTGTATTTTGTTAAGACTGTTTCACTGGTAATCATACCAATGATTTACTCTAGTAAAACCAGTGTGATTTTGAATATGAATGTAAAACTACTTCACAATGTGTGTGTGGAACATACAGTAAGACCTAAATGGATAACATAGTACACTACTTAAAATGAGGGATTTACACTGCATTTAACAATACTGAATATTAAAAATGCAGTATTATATCAGTGCATGATATTTGAATATTGTTTTTAGAGTGCATGAAAATGCACTCTATTGTTATCCGAATTTTTCTTATTAGAGTGCATGAAAATGCACTCTATTGTTATCCGAATTTTTCTTATTCTTCTTTTTCTTCTTCTAACCAATTTTGTGCGTTTAATACAGCTTCAACCGTTTAACGTAGAAACTTCATTCAAACTGTGTTGCGTAGGTCTTACAAAGGACACTTATGCTATGTATTTTTTATTTTTGTAACATTTATACTTTTTAAACTATTAATTAAAAAATATCAAAATTTTCCCCATAGACTTAACATTGGCCTTTATGACATCACAATAGAGCCATTAAGCAATTAGAATCTTGTGGCAGCTGTTCTGACCACCTACATCTGTTTGATGTAGGCCTATATACTTTTATCTATGTAAAATTAGACTGTTTGCATTTTCATGCACTCGTAATTCCCTGGAATTACATTCTCTAGTTACCTATTGAACTCATCCAAACCCATTTGCAAGCCTGAATGGCTCTTAAGATTAAGAGCCTATCCTAGCTTCTGCAATTTGATGTAAAAGCACGTAGGGTACTAGCCTGCCTCACAGTTATCACCCAAGTACACCCTGTAATGTTCTCTGGCATGGGTACCGTATAGCTTAGGAAAGACTCAACCGGGGATCAAACCCACAGCCTTCTGGTATCAGGCCAGACACTGTAACCACTAAACTGCTGACCCCAATTTGTGTTCATTATGAGTCTATTTGCTGTGCTTTGGAGAGGAACATGATGAAGGTTTAGGGGGTGGTTTGCAGCAGAACTCAAATTGAGGCAAGACGAAACAATCACACAAAAAGAACCTTTCAGTTCGAAATTTTATGTAGATATGTAAACCTCAGTTTTGATGAACTGCTTATTCCTCTGAAGCAGGAGCTGATTGTCGTGGAAGGAATGTTGGACCCAAAGGAGACAAGGGAGAGGCAGGATTCCCAGGGCAGCCGGCAACGATAGGTACGCTTTTGGGGTACTTTAACACCTACACATTACACCTGGTTGATAACCTTCCGTATTTGTCTTGAATTATGATATTTCTTGCTCATTAAGCTGTTATCATTTGATTACAGTATTTATGTATTCTTTTCACAGATACCTGGATTTCCCAAGGCATTGCGGTAAGTCATTTATTTACTTCAGGGGATATTGCTACAATGTGGACTTAGTCAGGAGTCTTTTTATCATCAGCCTCAGGGAAAAGGTTTAAGAATTAAGAAAATAAATACATTTTGGAAGTGGGATCCAGATAGTAAGCCTTACTAATTAGGGTTATACATTCACAAATTACTAAGCATTACTATATTGTTATTGTTGTTTTTGTGTAGGTTTTCCACTTTCTGTCCCCTCATAAATATTATCTAACACAAAGTGCTTAGGCCCCAATGCTGTAGTATTGGCTGTAATACAATCTTTGGGTCCTGAGAAGTGATACTAGTACAGTCTGTCCACCTCCTTTTGGTGCAGTCATGTTTGACCCTTACTGTGTGTATCTCCCAGGGTGACAAAGGGAGCCCAGGCTACAAAGGAGAGAAAGGAGAGAAGGGGGAGGCGGGGCTTCCGGGCCCACCTGGACTTCCTGGGAGGTCAGGCTTGGTGGTGAGTCATGTTGCTGTCTCTACGCCGCACACGCCCTGGCAGCTGCCTGTGCTTGCTCCCTCAGGAAGCCCCCCCCCACACCCCTCCATCCACACACCTCCCCACCCACCCGTGACAGCTTTAACCAATTACAGAGGAGATCCCTCTCAAATTAGGCAGGCCTTTTTCCTGTTTCTATTTCCATTTCTAATCACGAGCAGTACAATATGGACACATAATAGGTTCATTTGATCGCATTCAGTTGTATTAAAAAGGGCATTATGGCTGACTGTGAGCTCTTTTTAATGTGGTATATTCTGACTAAAGACGCTTTGTTTGGTTCAGTTCTGTTAAAATTAATTGGCACGTAACAGGATTTTCTTTTCATTTTTCGAGATGTTTTAATAGGGATTTGGTTTGTGTGAGTAATCAAGTTTCTCAAACAGACTTGTTGGCAAACCGTGCTTCAAAGATTAATGAGATGGAGCTCATGAAAAAAAACAAGAGCAGGAAAAAAGGCAATTTTGTTTTTTAAAACAACCCCGCTTTGCTTATGCTCTCTGCAATCCATGGTGCAGTGTTGTTTTCTTACATACTGCTCCTATCAATACTCAGATTGCCCTCGCCGAAAGACACTTAGGGTGCTTTCACACTAGAGCTTTTGGTGCAAACCCAAGTCTGCTTGAGTCATTAGTTTGGTTCGTTTTGTTGATGTGAAAGCTGTTTCTGAACTCGGGTGCGCACCAAGGGACCATACCCGAGTCCTCCAGAAAACGGGGGTCCGGGGTACGGTTCACCTGAACTCCAGTGCAGTTTGCATTTGGTATGAAAGCTATCCGATCTAAAACCAGGAAGTAAACGCTATAGTGACTAGAGGACAGCTACGTGGCAATTCACGCTTGAATTGCTAAAAACGCTAAAAACTATTCGGGAAATAATTGCAGGTAGCCACACTGTTCGCTCACCTTGAGGGTATGCATGCTCTGCAAGCAAACCTGCAAATTCATTTCGCATTGCCGCCTGTCTCCGCAATAACCTCCTTATCCTAGCACCTCTGCCGCTGACGCCTTTGCACCCTCGTTAGTTGTATTTTATCATTAATTGTATTTTTTACGTTATATTGTTTATATTTTGTACTTATATTGCTTAGATTCTGTACTTTTTTGTAAATATGTGTGAGGACTTAAATATAAATGCACCGTTGGAGGTTGACACAATTGCAATTTCATTGCGCTTGCACAATGACAATAAAGTTCTTGAATCTTGAATCTTATCCGAGCAGCTCGCATCACTCTCAGGCAGCGGGACGCATTTATGGCATAGTGAAAATGCCGAACACGGTTATTTTGGTGCTGACACCATATTAACAAAAAGATGAATAAGAAAACAAATATAGTGTGGCTTTCCATTTTGCCTCCCTTTTGCATCATTGCCTAGCGACATTGGTAAATAAAAGCTGCACGTTCCTTATGTGTTGATGATGTAAACAGACCAGGTTCGCAACCAAAAAATGTAATGTGAAAGGAGACCAGCGGGTGCAGGGGAGGGGGGAATAATCGCACTCAAGTTCGGACCAGCAAAATGGACCAAGTGTGAAAACCGCTAGTCATCATATTTTCCTCAGTTGCACATTTGTAACACTAACAAGAAACACAGCAATTAACAGTGCATGGTTTCTCCTGTGATGATAAAGTGAATCAAGGGTATTTAGGGATTTACTAAGACACTGTGTTTCATTTCAGGGGCCAAAAGGTGAGTCCATCGTTGGCCCTCAGGGCCATCCTGGAAATCCAGGCCGACCTGGATCTCCTGGGTTTGGAAGACCCGGGCCTCAAGGCCCCCCAGGGCCTCCAGGGCCCCCAGGGCCCCCAGGACCACCCCCTCTCTACGGATCTGGTAAGAGTCTCCTCGCACCACTTTGGTTTGTCACACTGCACCTACTACCATCAGGACGCATTATCTAGAGTAAAGATATTAGCACAGTTTCATCATCAGACTTGAGGGAAAGGGTGCTGCCACTCCCCTTACTGACTCCCTCCCACAACCTTATCCTTGAGCGCAGAGATTCAGGAGATTCTTTGTACAGGCCGCGTAAATACGATATGTAGGGCATTGACCATTTCAGGTTTGTGTTTCGCATAGAGAGGGACCCTCCCTTGAGAATATGTCCTGATTGTTTTATTTCAGCCGTTGCTATCCCCGGCCCTGCTGGCCCCCCTGGACTGCCAGGACCCCCTGGACTTGGAAACCCAGTGAGTTAAAACCAGTGAATGCAGTCAGGATATAAGCAGACCTCACAGGTCACATGGAGTTATGTGGAAAGGCAGGGGATACTGGCATACCCCCAGTGTGGGGTACAGATTTACCTGTGACATTAAGTGCCTCACACTGAAGAAGAACACATTCAGTGCTTTTCTCCTACTGAACTAAACTGTGGTTAATACTTGTGCTTGAAGCATTCCTGTGTACGCACTGTATAAGTTCAGTCTATGCAGTGTGTCTTGTCTCCAAAGTTAAAAGTATAACTGGTCCTTTTGCCTGCCGCAGGTGGTCACCTATAAGAGTGTAGACACATTGTTCAAGCAGATGCACCACGTCGCAGAGGGGACCATGGCGTACATCTCTGACAAGAGCGAGCTCTATGTTAGAGTGCGAGAAGGCTGGAGGAAGATCCAGGTAACAGCGCCTCATCTGTGCCAAATTTCACGCAGTGGGAATGACTAGAAATATGTGAAACACACGTCTTGATGTCTTTCATACAAACTTATTAGAAGCAGATTTGGGACCCTGCTCAATATGACCGGAATGCGCTTTGTTCTTAACCTTTTGGAAAAACAGTTTTAAGCTAGCGACACATTTTTTCATTTTCTGCATTTATCAAATGAGAAACAAAAGAAAGAAAACACTTGCTGAAATTTGTTAAAGTTTAGGAAATAACACATTAAATTAAATCTTAAATGTATTCCTTGTTCCTTACCTTAAAGTATGGGTATCCAACATGAAGGTACTGGCTTCAGAGCAAAACAATTTATATTCCCTTCAACAATTTTTTCATGCTGTGATGTCAAGATGAATGGGCAGTTGATATATAACTGCCTGCAACAAGTCATTTTTTTTCCTATCTCCATATGCGCCTTCAAAGCGTATAGATGGTTGCCCACGGTAAAAATGTGTCCTGAAGCAATTGATTTTTTTTTCACTGAATTGATGATTATATTCCTTAAAAATCCTTGGGTTGTGTAATGGCTCCTGAGCAGCTGCCCGTCTGTCTCCTCAGCTCGGAGAGCTGATTGCCCTCCCAGCAGACAGTCCTTCTTCGGCTCTGTCCCATGGCCTGGCCCGACCAGGAGAGCTCAGCTACAGTGACATACACAGCCAGGTATGGCACACAGCCTTCACTGCAGTCACCCATAATACTATGCTTTGCATACTCCAGTCACTATGTATCTGTCATGCTTTCTACAGTTCACTCTCAGAGTAATATGCAGTACTGAATGAATATTTCCTGTATTCCTGTTGCTCTCAGAATATCATGCTCCTTTTAGCCCAGTCTCTCTCAGGCTCTGTCCACTATTAAGACAAGTTAGACAAAAGTGTTCAGAGCAGTAAGTTAAGGAATCCAACTTAACTGGAGTGTGTTTATTGTCATTTCTGTTCTGGAACACTACATTTAAGAACCATTATCCCTCAATGCCTCAACATAAATCTGGTAGTTTACCTGTGTAAGCAAGTACTTTAACTATCCATTTAAGTTGCTAGCATTAGTTCGCTTTAAATGGTAGCTTTCTTCCTAACTCATGCTGACGTTCCAATTCTATGAGCTTGGTTGTTTACTGAGCATTATGTTATATCTGAAGATTCTACATTCAGAAAATTGGGCTAATATGGCTGTAAGTTCCGACTGGTCTCAAAATCAGCTATACAGGAGGATTCAGCAATTATTTAGCCATTAGCTGTTTCCTTAAATGCGGACACAATCACAGTTAAAACCATCAGAACCGCAACTGAAACCTTAACAGAGTTACGAAACGCTCGTGTGGACAGGACCTCAGGATATCACAGTGGGAGGCCCTCTGATCAGTGCGCTGTTCTGTGCTGACTGTAAGCCAC